CATGCCACGAAGTGAAGTGTCCGAACGTCATAGGGCGGGAAGCTGGGTGTGGGTGGTGGCGAAGAGTCGTTTGGAAATTTGGTAGAGCTTGAACCGGCCCCCCCACAAAGTGGGGGTATTGCCCGCCTCCTATGAAAACCCTGGCACTGGTGAGAACGGAGTGTCCCCACGTGCTAAATGATTGTTGTTGTTGTTGTTGTTGTTGTTGTTGTTGTTGTTGTTGTTGTTGTTGTTGTTGTTGTTGTTTCGGGGTTGTTGGACATTTGATTTCCAACGAGCCAGAAATCGGAAAGCTCTAAATCGAAATCCTCGTCCAGAGAACCACGGCAAAAGATCGCGCGGAAAGGCTACGCAAGAAAAAAGGCAACGCAACGACGATAACAAAATCAAGCGCGAAAATTCAAACACATATCTTGGGAACCGCCTCGTACCATATATGTATATATATATATATATATATATAATATTCACACAACATTGCATTGGCGCTTCGCGCCATGCTCCTTGGTTCTTGAGGCTCTGCTTATGTTGGTCGTTCGCGCAGTCCTTAGTGTCCTTGGAAATTCCCCCCCCCCCCCCCCCTCCCCTCCTTGCGGTGGTTTTTGCAAGTTTTTGAAAGTTCGGGCGGTCCGTGGCCCTTCCCAGGCCTCTGGGGGCTCCCGAAACGCGCCGGGTGGAGGGCGAAGGATAGGAGGGAGGGAATCTTTGGGAGTGAGGAGAGGGAAGCGGATGTGGGGGAGGACGCGTGGTAGAGCGGCAGAAAGAGGGGGAAGAGGAGGAAGAGGAGGAGGAGGAGGAGGAGGAGGAGGAGGAGGAGGAGGGCGAGGAGGGCGAGGAGGAGGAGGAGGAGGACCCTGAGGAGGAGCAGGAGGAGGGAAAGAGATGGTGCCGTCGGGGGACGGCGAAGAATTTCGGTTGCGCCGCATCGACGAGGGCTGTCCAGAAACCGACGGCTCGCACATAGTCCCGCTCGTGGCTCAGGTTCACTGGTGCGCAATGTGAATGAATCGCAAACCACGCGTCCGAATGCCAAGCGAAACGACGCAATTTCAAGCAACGCCCCAAAGTACAAAACAATGCTCATCTTAGGATGTCATGTCGCAGCGGGTCGCAACGGGGCACGCGAAAGTAATTAATTTTTGGAGAGTGCACCGAGCTCCGGTTCGCAATATATGTCCGGGAAATGCGGTTGCGAACCCGGGATTCGGGTCAGTTTGGTGGAAAATGCCGTGTCGTCCTTGTTGGAACCCTGGTTGGCCGGCTTGGGGTCCTCTCCAGCCGTTTTGGTGCCATTTTGGGCCGCGTTGGGGAGCCAGGGCCCTCTAGGGATCTTGCGGGGGCTACGTAGGCCCTCCTGGTGGCCTCCCGTGGCCTTTTTGGGGGCCTCCCATGTCCTTCCTGGGCTTCTTTTGGGGGTTTTGTGAGGGCCTGTTGGGTTTCTTTTTGACCCATTCAGGAGTTCCTTAGACAGTCTTGGGGCCATCCAGGCCGTCTGAAGGCTCTCTTGGGGGTTTCTTGGCCCGTGTTGGGTCGACACGGGGGGAGTTTGTGGCTGTTTTGGACGCTGTCAAGACCCGAACAGCGAATATGCTGAAAATGCACGGTCCCCTAAAGAAATAAAGCGTTTTTCGCGTTCTGGGAGTCCTGTTCAGGGCCCCTCGGGCCGTCCGTCTTGGGGGCCTTTGGAGGCCATCCAGGTTCTTTTTGGAGCGTTCTTGTGCTATTTTGGGTCTCTCTTCGGCCCTTCTGATCACCGTTATGATCGCCTTGGGAGTGCTGGCAAGACCTGGCCATGCGCCCTGGGCGGTCCGTGACGGGCTGGGGGACCTTTGGCAAGGCTGTCAGGGGGTCCGGGAAATCCCGGATCCTGGGGGTTTTGGGGTGGGGTGGGGTGGGGTAGGGTAGGGTGGGGTGGGGTTGGGGTGTTCTCCCACCTACCCGGCTTGTATAAGTATAGGAAGAGGAGTAGTTATGTATGTAGTATTTGTGTATGCGTGTATGCATGTATGTATTGGCATCGGTATATCTATGTATGTCCTTGTATGTCTGCATGTATGCTGGTGTATATGTACATGTGTATGTGCCAGTATTTGCAAATCTATGACTAGAGTTATATGTATACAGCTGTACATGTACACGTACATATATACGTGTAGATATATGCATGGAACCATGCATGACTACATATATATTCATACATATTTTTACATATATATATATATATATGTATACCGTATGACTATGCATATGTATGTGCATGTGTATATATACTTGTCAATGTTTAATTATGTTGGTATTATAGTGGGTATACACATATATGTATATGTCTATGTATAGGGTATGTGTATGAATAGGTGTACTTATATGTATAGGTATATGAATTTGCGTACGTATGTGCATCTGTATACGCATGAGTCCACGTATCTGTTTGCACACATGCATGTGTATATGTATATGCGCATGTTCAGTTACTGTATGTATATGTATATGTACATGTACATGGATGTCTACATGCATAGGTTTATTCCATAATATATACATACATGTTTATGTACATGTGTTTTTGTATCAACATGGTTTCTGTGTAGTTGCATGTTTTCTTTGCCTGAATATGTAAATTTAAATTCATATGTAAATGAATGTGTTTATGTCTATGTCTTTATGTACGCCAATGTATGTAGATGTTTAGGTATATGTACAATACTTGTATATGTGCATGTGTACGTTTCTTTAGGTGTACATGCACGATTCTGTATATGTATAGGTTTTGTGCATGCGTATGCATATGCAACTGCGCATGTATCTTGGTATGCTTAGATATGTGTACATGCATGCGTATTTGTAAGCGTGTAGAATCACACCTATGTAACTCTAGATCAATATGAATATGTGTATGTACATGTATATGTACATGTATATGTCTATGTATAGCTATACCTATACGTACATGTTTATGTATAGGTGCATACAAATGTATGCGTATATGTATATGTATCGTTACATGTATAGGTAGGTGTAATGTATAATCGCATGTGCATGTGTATTTCTATGTGAATGTGTATGCATATACGGTATGCGCGTAAGTACGTAGGTATGTTTGTATGTACGTGTGCATGTATGTATATGTATATTCATACGGGAGCATGTACGTAAACACGTATGTTCTTATGAACGGTATGCGTGTAGTTATTTATGTATCTGTGTATGCATGTATGCATGTACGCAGGTATGTACGTATGTGTTTATGTATGCATGCATGTTCGCTTGTATCTACGTGCGTACGTATGTATGCCTGCATGTATGTATGTAGTGTGTACACAGTGTGCGTATGTGGATTTATGCATGTACGTATTTACGTACGCATGTAGGCATGCATGTGTGTGTATGCGTGCATACATGTAGCTATGCATTTATGTTTGTATATGTTCATGTATGCGCATATAGGTGTGTATGTATGTTGGTTTGTATGAAGTATGTATGCTCTATGTTTTTATGTATGCATGTCTGTGTGTGTTTTTATGTCGTATCGAAATCGTCTCACGTATGTATGTATGTGTGTATGTATGCTCGTACACATATCATGTATATATGTTTGTGTGCGTATATGTGTAATGTATGTATGTATGTATGTATGTATGTATGTATGTATGTATGTATGTATATATATATATATATACACATCCAGTCGGTGACACTGCTCGAAAGGGTCGCTGCTCGGGTGCTGCCCGGGATGCTCTCGCTGACAGAGGCCCCAGACAGGTCCCCCCTTTGGAGGGGTCACTGATTGAGAGGGCCCCCTCCTGATTGAGAGGGGCCCAAACTCCGTCTCGACTCCTGTTGAGAAAGGGCCTCATACAGGTGATGTGGGTTCTCCCGTTTCCGATGGTGGAAGGCTGACTTCTGGCACGGAGGTTTCGAGCTCAGATTTTAGAGCTGAGCCAGCAATCCAGAGCTCTTTGGATGGTCGGCTATGAGCCGCTCGGTCGGACTCGGCGCGCCATGGAGCTGCGTGTGCGCCCAGTAGCTGTCTGGGATCTCGCTGCTGTCCAGTTGCTTGCCCTCTGCCTGATGCGCTGGGGCTGCGTTTGGGGAGTTGCCCAGACATAACCGAGGACTCCTAAATGGGGTCCGAGCAGGTGGCGTCGGATGATCGCGCCGCATCGCCGATGCATCGGCGATGCGGTGCGATTTTCTGACTCCATCAGCTCGGGCCCCATCTGGGAGGCACGAACGTACACCATGCCCTCCAACACTCAGCACCGACGGCCGTCGACCCCAACCACGGCCAGCAAGCTATCGAGCCCGTCCGCGCGAGCCTTCCAGGCCCCGCCTCCAGGCGGACGCCAGCGCGCTCGGCTCCTCACCACAGGCATCTTCCATCACCTGCGCGCCAGACAGTTCCAGGAGGCTGGCTGCCTCGAGCCGCCCCTCTTTTCCTCCAGTTGGGCCGGGCTCGCCAGACTGACGCGGGCAAACCGCGGTCACAGCAGCGGCTTCGCGCGCATAGCAAGCAGAAGCGGTCTCGGCCTTGGGCCCATGCGTGGGCGTGGATGAGTCAGGATGTGGGGCAAAGGTGTGCACAGAACTGCTGCCTCTCCTTCCTCCGTCGCCTTCTCGTTCTTCCGTCCTTCTCTCTTCTTCGTTGTTATCTTCTACCCTCCATCGTCTTTCCCGCCCTGTCCTATGTTGTCCTGTCCTCTCCTCGCATGTCCCCTCCTCGTCCTTGTCCTTATCTTCGTCTTAGTCCTTCTCGTCCTCCTGCTGCTGAGGACCTCGTCATCCTCATCCACCGTTCTCAATCTCGGTTTCGCCTCCTTCTCCTCCTCCTGCTCCTCCTCCTCCTCCTGCTTCTGCTCCTCCTCCTGCTGCTCCTTCTCCTCTTCCTCCTCTTCTTCCTCCTCCTCTGCCTCCTCCTCCTCCTCCCCCTTCTCCTCCTCCTCCTCCTCCTCCTCCTCCTCCTCTTCCTCCTCCTCCTCTCCCTCTGGGGGGCGGGCGGCCAGGGTACTGGCGCACTCGGTCCAGCTGATACAGCTCCCGCCGACCGTCCAGGTCGCGGAGCACGACCCCGCGGCAGCGAAGAGCTGACGCAGATCGGGGTCGACCCTGTGATGCCCCGGAGCACTGCCATGGAGCAGTTCTGGACGGAGAGACGGGGACGAGAGAGGTGGAGACGGGGAGGTGTCGGAGGTGGAGAAGCAGGGTGAGGAGGAGGAGGAGGAGGAGAAGGAGGAGGAGGAGGAGGAGAAGGAGGACGAGGAGGATAAGGTGGAGGAGGAGGAGGAAGAGGAGACGCCGGGAAGAGGAGACGGGGACCACTGCAAACCCAAGATTCACCAACGATACTGCAAGACAGCCGCCCTTCAAGTTCCGTTTTTATAGGCCCGTACAAGGATTCATTTTCACTGCGGGAAGTGTCCCATTAGGAGTCAACGGTTTGAATATCCTGAACTGTGCCAGAACAACATTACAGGAACTTCCAACGCCACGAACTTCCGTTACTGCTGCGGCTTGCCTGTCCTGAGTCGTGCCAGGACGCCGCTTCTGGCCGTTCCTGGAACTTCAGCACCGCGAATCAACGTAACTGTTGCGCCCTGACAATCCTGAACCGCTCCCAGACACCATGTCTGTTACGCTAACCACGGGAACCCGTGACATTCTGGCAATGTTTTAAAAGGAATGGGCGCGGCGCTACGGCGTGAGCCACATTTTGAAAACGACCTGCCTTCAATCCATGAAACTCTTGCAACTTTTCCAGGCGAGTGTGCGTGGCGCTAAGGCGAGAGCCACATTTCGAGAGTCGCCCTCCCTCCATGAATTAAACTGTTGCCACTGTTTAAGTTTCAGTGCCTTAAGTTGTAAGGAAGTCTCAGGCGGAACGCCCGGCCCGCCCTTCCGACTGGCTTCGGGGTGTGACAGGGAGGAGTTGTTTACAAGAAAAAGGAAATGAGGATCAGGCGAAGGAGGCGGATGAGGCACGGGGATGGGGGAGGATGATGCACGAGATTCGGGAGGCGTGGGTCGACGCCGCTACGCGGGAGGCCTGGCTCCACCCGAGGAGCCAGGACCCCCCCCGACCGTGAGGACCATGCGCATGACAACCTCACCCGTCGTCGGTCTTAACACTTCCGACGAGCCGCACGATGACGAGAGGGGGCCTCGCCGCGAGACGGCCTGGGCCCCTACCGCCCACCCGAGCCGCACCCTCCCGTGCCAGCAGTGGCAGGAGGACGACCACCCCGCGCCTGCTGGCTCGCCAGCCAGCCCTGCAGCACCGCGAGGTCGTGCATGACGATGCCCTCCGCGCCCACGCTGGCCGAGTGGACGGGGGTCTGCACCAGCTCGAGCGCGGCCGCACTGCGGGCGGCCCGCGCCGCGGGTAAGCCAGGCATCAACTTGCCCCTGCCCTTGCCCCCTTGCTCTTGTTGAGGCCCCTGGCGCGCCAGACGATGGGCAGCTCATCGGCCCACTCGTCGGGCGCCAGCGGCGAGGTGGGAGCCGCGGCGCCCCGTGCCGCTCCCTCCGCCGCCCCGCACCCGCTCACGGCCATCTCCGTCGTGCTCCCGTCGCCCGTCCTCCCGCCACGTCCGCGCGGGCGGCGCCGCCGCCGAGGGGCAGCGAGCGGCGCGACCGCCGCCGGATGGGGCGGGGCTGGCGCGGGGGTCGTCGGCAACACAGCGACCGCCGTTTGGAGTCTGGAGCAGGCCCTCGGCGGCGCGGATGAGGCGTGCCGCCTCGCGGCACTCCGCGCCGCCCGTTAGCCTAGCGGCGGTGTGCACCGCGAGGAGAGCGCCACCCGCTGCTTCGAGCGGCGCCGCGCGGGCGCCCTTGGACAAAACCGGTTTCAGGACGGCGCGGCGGCGGGGCCTCCGGCACGACGAACTTGAGCCTAGATGGTTGTAGGAGAGGGGGAGGAGGAGGAGGAGGAGGAGGAGGAGGAGGAGGAGGAGGAGGAGGAGGAGCAGGAGGAGGAGGAGGCGGAGGAGGAGGGGAGGGGGAGGAGGAGGAGGAGGAAGGAGGAGGAGAGGAGGAGGAGGAGGAGGAGGGAGGAGGAGGAGGAGGGAAGGAGAAGGAGGAGGATGAAGAGGATGGGTGATGATGATGATGCTGATGATGATGATGATGATGATGATGATGATGATGAGGAGGAGGAGGAGGAGGAGGAGGAGGATACGACGGGGAGGAGGAGACGGAGATGAGGAGAAGGCGGAGGGGGCGGAGGATGGAGAGCGAGGGGTAGGAGGAAGAGGATGAGGAGAAGGAGGAGGATGGAGGAAGAGGAATCTAGTCATGAGGATGATAGTGGCGAAGACGTAATGAGGATGCTGATGATGATGATTATGCTGATGATGATGATGATGATGATGATGATGATGATGCTGATCCTGATGCTGATGATGACGACGATGATGATGATGATGTTGATGATGATGTTGACGATGATAATGATGCTGATGATGATTATGATGACGAGGACGATTATGATACGTATGATTGTGAATATGATGACTGATGATGATTAGGATGATGATGGTGGTCGTGGTGCTGACTGTTCTGGTGATGGTGATGATGATGCTGATGATGATGACCATGTGGACGGACGATGGTAATGACGATGATGTTGTTGATGTTGATGTTGGTGATTCTGATGATGCTGATGATGATGATGGTGACGGTGACGACGGTGACGATTTTGATGATGCTGATGAGGAAACTTGTGACGATGACGACGGCGATTACGATTAGTATGCTGATGCTGGTGGCGATGATGGTGCTGGTGATCAAGATGACTTCCATGATGATATGGCGGTGGCCGTGACGGTGATGATGCCGACGGCGACGATGATGACGATGAAGACGACGACGATGCTGATCATGATGAAGATGATGATGATGACGCTGCTGATGAAGCTGATGATGATGATGATTATGCTGCTGATGATGCTGATGATAATGATACTGATGATGTTGATGATGATGCTGATGATGTTGATGCAGGTGCTGATGATGAATGGTAATGATTCGATGGTGACAATGACGACTTTGATTATATCGAAGATGATGACGGCGATTCTGCTGCCGATGCTGAGGAACATGCAGGTGATGACGATGATGATGTTGATGATGATGATGATGATGATGATGATGATGATGATGATGATGATGCCGATGATGCTTATGACAGCGATGGTAGTGGTGGTGATGATGCTGATCAGCATGATGAGGATGCTGATAATGCTGCTGCTGCTGATGATGATGATGATGCTGGGTGATGCTGGCGACGACGGCGACGGCGATGGTGATGATGATGGTGATGATGATCATGATGATGCTGATGATCACGATGTTTCTGATCATGCTACTGCTGATGCTGATGCTGATGATGATGGTAGTGGTGATGATGATGGTGATGATACTGCTGCTGCTGATTATTAGCATTTGGTATTCTTCTTGATTTGCTTATTCTTCGTACCATCAGTACCATCACTACTATTGTTTATTATTATTGTGGTTTGTAGTTGTTCTTATTTTTGAAGATGGCTGTATCATTGCGGGGATGATGACGACGGTGATGATGCCGATGCTGACGACGGCGAGTATGCTGCTGCTGATGATGAGGAGTCTAATGACGGTGCTGATACTAGTATGTTTAGTGTGCTGATGATGCTGATGATAGTCCTGCTGATGGCAATCATAATGATAATGCTGATGCTGCTGCTGATGATGATGACGACGATGGTATGATGGTGATGATGAGGATGATGATGCTGGTGAGGCTGCTGCTGATGATGCTTGAGAGGAGGAGGAGGAGGAGGAGGAGGAGGAGGAGGAGGAGGAGGAGGAGGAGGAGGAGGAGGACAATGAGACGGTGATAATAATATTGAGACGCGGCGAGAGGCGGCGACAATAGTCGAGAGAGCGGCGAACAGGAGAGAGAGAGAGAGAGAGAAGACCACTGTCTGGAGCATTGTTTGCGCCTGCCGCACAGGGCGCACTCGGTGCAACAGCCAGACCCGCAACAGCCCTACTGCAAACGAGTGGCACCCGCAACCAGAGGACCAGTCAGACGCTTAGGAGAATCGAGCACGAGCCCATCTGGATCACCAGTCTTGCATCGCCATCGTTTTGAAAGAAAGCAGCAGCTGAGTGTGGAGTGCCAGACGATGGGGCCTTGTGAGTGTGTCTGGGTCCAGGGTGGTCTCAGCGGAAACATGGCTGAATGTGGAAGGATGCCCATGCTGGGGTGATGGCGGGCAGGTTGGCTGCTGGCCGAACGTGCTGCTGTCAAGGCCAGGGGTCGCCCGCCGCCTTGCGGGACCCCATGGCCTTGGCGCGGCCGGCCTCTCGCGAGGCCTGCGCGCGTCGGCCAGCCGGAGCCACCGCAGGAGCACGTGGCGCAGCCCCTGCCGTGGCCCCGTGCGGCCGGTGTCGGGGCCGCTGTTGGTGGCGGCGCCTGCTGCTCCAGCCGCTCCCTCCTCTAGGGCGACGAGATCTATGCATATCCACTGCTCCTGGCCAGGCCCATCCTGGGCCCAGGAGCGGTGTATATGCCTCCCTGGCCAGGCCAGGAGGGCATATACACCGCTCCTGGGCCCAGGATGGGCCTGGCCAGGAGCAGTGGATATGCATAGATCTCGTCGCCCTATCCTCGGCGGCGCGAGGCGGGCCTGGGTGCGCCATCGGGTCCGCGCTGCCGCTTGGCCTGGAGGCGAGCGGCCGTCTGCCGCTCCTTGGCCCGCAGGTTGGCCAGCGCCTCGGCTGTGTGGCCGAGGGCCTTGGGCGAGCTTGGCCTGCACGCCTGCGGCCAGCTCTTTCTCGACGCGGGCCCGCTCGTCTTGTCGGCTGCCTCGACATCGCGGTTGCCCACGTCGAAGTGCGGACCGTCGACGGCACGGGGGAGATTCGCGGGGGGCAACACCCTCGGCCAACGCAGATCACATGATCGATAATACTGCGTCGGAGGAGCGGATGCCTCAGGCTGCTGCTGCTGCGGCGAGTTCTCCACTTGCTTTGCGCGCCCGGCCTCCCGCTCCTGCTCGGCCTTGAACGCCGCCAGAACTGTTACTGCCTCCACGCTGGCCTTGGCCTCGGCCAGCCATGCCTCGCCCTCTGGCCGCGCGAGTTGCGCACTTCTCGTGCTGGCCCT